GGGTTCGCCTTTTGCAATAGTGCCTTATGCTTCATGGAAACTGTTTGATGCCTAAGACTTTTGTACTAACACCTACCACTGTATGTTATGCTTAATATGGAAAATGGCAGTCCCCGTTAGACCTGTATGTGGTTTACTTGCTCAGTATTCATCTCACTCTATCTCAATGAACTATATGCCCTGCTTCTTTCATTCAAGCTGTATACTTTTACTTTGTGCTTGACTCTTGCTGTTTTTAGTCAAGATAAATACTCAGCTCCTGCTGTTTTTAGTCATGATTGATACTTGTACTAAACATGCTAAACTTACACGGCTGGCACGCGCGCTTGGTCACACCGTTTGTACCGGGCACCGCGCGCCAGGGCGCGTTTCTGGTCTAGTTAGTACTACCTCCAAATCGTTGATCGTATCAGCGCGCGGTCTCCGCTTCTCGTCAACATGTTTCAAACTGCGGGCGGGCTGGACGGGAAGCACAGGCCATGCATCAATTTCTCATGGAAAATGTGCAAAACAGACCTTAAACTTGTAGACAAAAATTAAATCGAACCATGAGCTTTCAATCCCGGAACTCCGCACACCCAACTCTTCGATCCCGATCTATTTTAAACCTTGAGAGCCTTATTAGCTGGTATTCGCTGACGTGGCAAGGATCGTTGACTGGGCTGGCTGGACATTACGACAAATCGGCCGGGCCATTTGTGCACTCGCTCGCGCTCTCGTTATGCTCTATTTTTTTTCGAAATCACTAATTAAGGAGTACTCCTTGCGGAGATCACTCCAACTTTCCCAAGTTGCGACAAGTGGCGCGCTGCATGTGCGCCACTTGTCGCAACCTGGGTGTTTTTCCTTTTTTTCGTAGATCCGTTTATTCAAAATGTTTTATCTCTTAAACTGTACGTCCAAATCTCGAACCGCTTTCGTCGTTGGATTCCTCGCGTCGAGATCTTCAAAACTAGATCCCATGTTGATAGGTTTTGACGAACTTTTTTTCCACGAAAAAACCGGATGAAAAAAACCGATGAAAAACCGAATCGGAACACGGGTTTTTTTCCCTCTCCGAAAGAAGCACGCCCGTGCCTCTGACGAAATCACAACTGTGCCTCTCGCGGAAGCAAAACCGTGCCTCTGGCGAAAGAAAAAAAACAGAAAACCCGTTTTTCCCTTTTCAAAAGAGACACGCCCGTGCCTCTCGCGGAAGCAAAACCGTACCTCTCGCGGAGGAAAAAAACAGAAAACACATTTTTTTTCCTTTTTGAAAGAGGCACGCCCGTGCCTCTCGCAGAAGCAAAACCGTGCCTCTCGTGAAAGAAAAACAACAGAAAATGTATTTTTTTTCGTTTCTGAGGAGGCATGGCCGTGATTCTCGCGAAAGCACACCCGTGCCTCTCGCGGAAGCAAAACCGTGCCTCTCGCGAAAGGAAAAAAAACACGTTTTTTTTCCGTTACCAAGAGGCAAGGCCGTGCCTCTCGCCAAAGCACAACCGTGCCTCTCGCGAAAACAAAACCGTGACTCTCGCGAAAAAAATGTGTTTTTTTGCGCAAAAAAACTAATTTTTTCGAAATTGTTTTTTTGGTCGAAAAGCTAGGGAAGACCGGTGGAAGACCAAAATGTCAAAACAAACGAAAAAAAACCGTTTAAAAAGCCAAAAATGCGTGCGGAAAAATAAAAAAACAAAATCTGGAAGGAGCGCCCAGAGCGCGACACGTGGCGAATAGCTGAGAGCGCGCCAAATGACGCTGATCGTTGCGAGGCTTCCGAAGGAGCACTCGTTAATTAGTTGCTCCCGTTTTTTTTCAACTTTTTCTTCGTTTTATAATTTCGTAATGATAATAAATTTGTTTATATTTTCATAATGAAAACAAAATTTTAAAAAAATATATACACGAACCCACTTTTCGTCTATTAGGAGCGACAAAAAATAGAAGCAACAGTCAGCTTGTGAGAGGTTTCGAACTAGCTTTTTTTAGGTGAGGTTTCGAACTAGCTTTTTTTAGGTGAGGTTTCGAACTAGCTAGGGACCTGGAACTCGCGGCGGCCGGACATAGCCAATCGCCATGATGGCTGTAAGTCATTATAAATCACACGTCGCATATAAGAATAGACTGGAATGTTTATCAATGAACAAATTTTTTAAAACCTTAGAAGCATGTCTTGAAAAAAAATCTCAACAATTTTAAAATAACGAATATATTTTTTTAAGCAAATAATTTATGAAATTCCAAAAACATTTTTCAAAAATGTTACAGGGTAACATTTTTCCAGATATACATTTTACATTTTATAAAACTATACAAACATTTTTTACATTGTTTAAACATTTTTTTTAATTTTTTCAGGTTTCAATATATGTTGCATTTTTGCAAAAATGTTTATGTTCCAAATCGTGTTCGCTTTCTCAAAATGGATTCTGTTTTCAAAAAAATTGTTTGTTTAAAAAAAAAGTAGTGAGAATTTTCAGAAAGTGTTTGCACTTTAAAAAAATCGTTTGGGCCTGCACGTTTTCAATATTAGTTTGCTCCTAAAAGATATTTTCAAATATGGACGCTACGGTCTGTGGTTAAATTACTCGTGCCTCTAATTGCAGCATTAATAGCCAATGCTTCTAGTGGCTAGCAGGTGGACGTTCAAGCTCATGGGCACACGTTCGATTAGCGGGTTCGTATATGGCGCAAAGGGCGCCCGCGAGCGACCAGGCGCACACCCCCCTGGTGCGCTGAGCCCTCGTATGGGCCGGTCCATATCCCATTTCTTTTTCTTTTCGTTTTTTTAGCTCTCTTTTTTCTTTTTTGTTTCCTTTTTCGCTTTCTTTTCTTTTTTTATTTTCTTTCCAAATTCGTGAACATTTTTTTGTATCAAATTCATAAAATGTTCGCAATTTGTAAAAATGCTCAACGATTCAAAAAATGTTCATACAATTCCTTTTTTGTTCATCAAATTAGAAAAATGTGCACCAAATTCAAAAATTGTTCCCCAAATTTAAAATTTGTTCGTCGATTTCAAAATTTGTTCATCAAATTAAAAATTTGTTTGTTTTCTTTTTTTCTTTTCTTACAAAATTTGTATGTTCATAAAATTTGTTTTTTGTTCATCGGATTGAAAAATGTTCGTCAAAATTCAAAATTTGTTCATCAAATTCAAAATTTGTTCATCGACTTCAAAAATTATTCACCAAATTCAAAAAACATTCATCATCGATTTCAAAAATTGTTCACCAATCACAAAATTTGTTCATCGATTTCGAGTTTTCTTTAATGAATTCAAAATTTGTTCATCCAATTTTCAAAAAAATATTCTTAAATAAGAATTTTTTCATCAAGTTTATAAAATGTTCATTGCATTCAATTTTTTTCATCAAATATAAAAAAATGTTCATCAGTACTAGAAAAATGCTCATATAAATGTGTTTATCAAAATAAGTAATTTTTCACTAAAATTCATAAAAAGTTCATTATTTTGAAATTACAAACATTTTTTTAAAAAATTCAGGTTTCTAAATTACGAATTATTTTGAAGAAAAATGGAAAGCAAAAATAATAAAAAACAAATTAAAAAAACTGGGGCGTTCTGTCCTGCTCGTGGGCGGCCTTGAGGGGCGCACGGGAGCGGACGGGTGCGCGCTGGCATGTTCGCCAGCGCGTCACGCGCCAGATAGGAGCTCCCGTTCGATTACCCCAGAGTTAAAAAAATTCGGTATTTTTATTTCTTTGTAACAAAAAGAAAAATAAATCGGTTCGTGTCTGTTGGGCCGGCCCAGTCGTGAGCGCACTCAACGATCGCGGGATTCGAACTACCACGTCGACGATCCCTATTTGGAAATGCGCTTAATGTTCAAAATAGACCGGGATTAAAGAGTTCGGTTTGCTGATTTTCGGGATTAAGAATTTAGGGTTCAAATTAGATTTCGCCTACAAGTTCAAGGTTTATTTTGGATTTTTCCCACTTTCTCATCGGTTGTTCTTTTAGGCGCGTGTTCTGGCATGGAACTCTCTCCGCCTGCATGTTAGCAATGTCCTTGTCAGCTGGTGATGAGTTCCTTGACTTGTGGGCGTCATCTACGGCGGCTGTTGTAGTCGGTCTCTGGAGAGGCCTTGCCTTACTAGTTAATCTTATTGCTTGCTGCATCTGGAAGCACTGAAACGCCCTCCACCTTCGACAATGAGCGTCATACTACTGTGCGCCTGCTCCACTCATCTGCTATGAGGTGCATGCCTGGGCTTCTGCCGAAGCCAAGGGCCGAGCTGCTATACTTCCAGAGAGACATCCCTGGCATCTCTAAACGCTTCTTGGGGCTGAGCAACCCCTTATTTCCTCTGCTCGCTTGGGTCTAGTTACACATGTGTAATCAGGCCTTATCTATACTCTTGCTTTCTGTCTATGAATAAAATGACACGGATTTGTGTATTCGTGAAAAAATATGTTGGAGATGCTTAGGTATTGGGCGTCCAATGAGGCAATGAGGCACTAAGGCAGTAGTTTTGCAAGCAAAGAAAATTGAACCTTGAGTTTTCCATCAAAGGTAAACAAATATAAAGATGATAACAAACATAGCTTGCGGCAACCACTTGAGAAACCAGAATGCAACACCGATACACTAAATTCCCCAAATAATGCTATTGTATCGGTACATAAAAAGTATTAGTTCAACAAAATAAAAACTTACGCCTTGCCCATCGATATGTTCTATTAATATATTGAGTGCACGTTTCGTGATGGAGACACCATCACCCAAATCACCAGTTTGTGCAATTACGTGCATTTTCTCAAGTTGAAGATATTGTCCTAGAGAGCATTATAATTACATGATCTGATAAGATAGATACTATGTAAAGTAGCCTTTTTCCTCGCTAGAAAACATTAATAAACCATGACACATTTTAGGATTGGTCAAACCATTTTAGTTTACTACCTCACATATTAACCCAAGTTGGTGTCTAACTGCTAATTCTCAAAGCTCACTAGAGACTAGTTTCCACAAAATTAAGGGCGAGATGATGTACCCTCACACTTTGAGTTGTGTAGGTTGCACTTGAAGCTTTTCATTGCTTGAACCTGATGTCGTCTTTGTTGCGGAACGTTGCAGAAAATTAAAATTTTTCCTACGGTTTCACCAAGATCCATCTATGAGTTCATCTAAGCAACGAGTCAAGGGAGAGAGTTTGCATCTACATACCACTTGTAGATCGAGTGCGGAAGCGTTCAAGGGGATGGTGATGATGGAGTCGTACTCGACGTGATTCGGGTCACCGATGACCAAGTGCTGAACAGACAGCACCTCCGCGTTCAACACACGTACGGTACGGGCGACGTCTCCTCCGTCTTGATCCAGCAAGGAGGAAGGAGAGGTTGAGGAAGACAGCTCCAACGGCAGCACGACGGCGTGGTGTTGTTGGTGCAGCAGTACTCCGACAGGGCTTCGTCAAGCACGTACGGAGGAGGAGAGGTGTTGGGGAGGGGAGGGGCTGCGCCTTGGCTTGTGTATGGCTGCCCTCCCCTCACCCCTCTATATATAGGAGGAGAGGGGCAAGGGGGCCAGCCCTCTAGGGGAAACCCTAGAGGGGGGCGGCGGCCAAAGGGAGAGGGAAAAGGGGTGGCTTGCCCCCCAAGCTAGGGGGGCGCCCCCTTTAGGGTTTCCCCTCCCCTTGCCCTAGCCGCATGGGCCTAGGTGGGGAGGCGCGCCCAGCCCACTAGGGGCTGGCTCCCTCTCCCACACAGCCCATGTGGCCCCCCCCGGAGGGGTGGCCCCACCCGGTGGACCCCCGGAACCCTTTCGGTGGCCCCGGTACAATACCGGTATGCCACCGAAATTTTCCGGTGTCCGTTTAACCACTTTTCTTATATAAATCTTTACCTCCGGACCATTCCGGAACTCCTCGTGACGTCCGGGATCTCATCCGGGACTCCGAACAACATTCGGTAACCACATACTTGTCTTCCTGATAACCCTAGCGTCACCGAACCTTAAGTGTGTAGACCCTACGGGTTCGGGAGACATGCAGACATGACCGAGACGACCTCAGGTCAATAACCAACAACGGGATCTGGATACCCATGTTGGATCCCACATGCTCCTCGATGTTGTCATCGGATGAACCACGATGTCGAGGATTCGATCAAACCCCGTATGCAATTCCCTTTGTCAATCGGTACGTTACATGCCCGAGACTCGATCGTCGGTATCCCAATACCTCGTTCAGTCTCATTACCGGCAAGTCACTTTACTCATACCGTAATGCATGATCCCGTGACCAGACACTTGGCCACCTTGAGCTCATTATGATGATGCACTACCGAGTGGGCCCAGTGATACCTCTCCGCAACACGGAGTGACAAATCCCAGTCTCGATCCGTGTCAACCCAACAGACACTTTCGGAGATACCTGTAATGCACCTTTATAGTCACCCAGTTACGTTGTGACGTTTGGTACACCCAAAGTACTCTTACGGTATCCGGGAGTTACACGATCTCATGGTCTAAGGAAGAGATACTTGACATTGGAAAAAGCTCTAGCAAAACGAACTACACGATCTTGTGCTATGCTTAGGATTGGGTCTTGTCCATCACATCATTCTCCTAATGATGTGATCCCGTTATCAACGACATCCAATGTCCATAGCCAGGAAACCATGACTATCTGTTGATCACAACGAGCTAGTCAACTAGAGGCTCACTAGGGACATATTGTGGTCTATGTATTCACACGTGTATTACGATTTCCGGATAATACAGTTATAGCATGAATAAAAGACTATTATCATGAACAAAGAAATATAATAATAACACTTTTATTATTGCCTCTAGGGCATATTTCCAACAGTCTCCCACTTGCACTAGAGTCAATAATCTAGTTACATTGTGATGAATCCAACACCCATAGAGTTCTGGTGCTGATCATGTTTTGCTCGCGAGAGAGGTTTAGTCAACGGATCTGCGACATTCAGATCCGTATGTACTTTGCAAATTTCTATGTCTCCATCTTGAACATTTTCACGGATGGAGTTGAAACGACGCTTGATGTGCCTTGTCTTCTTGTGAAACCTGGGCTCCTTGGCAAGTGCAATAGCCCCAGTGTTGTCACAGAAGAGTTTGGTCGGCCCCGACGCATTGGGCATGACTCCTAGGTCAGTGATGAACTCCTTCACCTAAATAGCTTCATGCGCTGCCTCCGAGGCTGCCATGTACTCCACTTCACATGTAGATCCCGCCACCACGCTCTGCTTGCAGCTGCACCAGCTTACTGCTCCACCATTCAACATATACACGTATCCGGTTTGTGACTTAGAGTCATCCAGATCTGTGTCGAAGCTAGCGTCGACGTAACCCTTTACGACGAGCTCTTCGTCACCTCAATAAACGAGAAACATGTCCTTTGTCCTTTTCAGGTACTTCAGGATATTCTTGACCGCTGTCCAGTGTTCCTTGCCGGGATTACTTTGGTACCTTCCTACCAAACTTACGGCAAGGTTTACATCAGGTCTGGTACACAGCATGGCATACATAATAGATCCTATGGCTGAAGCATAGGGGATGACACTCATCTCTTCTATATCTTTTGCCGTGGTCGGGCATTGAGCCGAGCTCAATCTCACACCTTGCAATACAGGCAAGAACCCCTTCTTGGACTGATCCATTTTGAACTTCTTCAAAATTTTATCAAGGTATGTGCTTTGTGAAAGACCTATGAGGCGTCTCGATCTATTTCTATAGATCTTGATGCCTAATATATAAGCAGCTTCTCCAAGGTCCTTCATTGAAAAACATTTATTCAAGTAGGCCTTAATACTGTCCAAGAATTCTATATCATTTCCCATCAAAAGTATGTCATCTACATATAATATGAGAAATGCTACAGAGCTCCCACTCACTTTCTTGTAAACGCAGGCTTCTCCATAAGTCTGCATAAACCCAAACGCTTTGATCATCTCATCAAAGCGAATGTTCCAACTCCGAGATGCTTGCACCAGCCCATAAATGGATCGCTGGAGCTTGCATACTTTGTTAGCGTTCTTAGGGTCGACGAAACCTTCTGGCTGCATCATATACAACTCTTCCTAAAGATAACCATTAAGGAATGCCGTTTTGACGTCCATCTGCCATATCTCATAATCATAGTATGCGGCAATTGCTAACATGATTCGGACGGACTTAAGCTTCGCTACGGGAGAGAAAGTCTCATCGTAGTCAATCCCTTGAACTTGCCGATAACCCTTAGCGACAAGTCGAGCTTTATAGATGGTAACATTACCATCCGCGTCCGTCTTCTTCTTAAAGATCCATTTGTTTTCTATCGCTCGCCGATCATCGGGCAAGTCAGTCAAAGTCCATACTTTGTTTTCATACATGGATTCTATCTCGGATTTCATGGCTTATAGCCATTTGTTGGAATCTGGACCCGCCATAGCTTCTTCATAGTTCGAAGGTTCACCGTTGTCTAACAACATGATTTCCAGGACAGGGTTGCCGTACCACTCTGGTGCGGAACATGTCCTTGTGGACCTACGAAGTTCAGTAGCAACTTGATCCGAAGTACCTTGATGATCATCATTATTTTCCTCTTCAGTTGGTGTAGGCATCACAGGAACATTTTCCTGAGCTGCACTACTTTCCGGTTCAAGAGGTAGTACTTCATCGAGTTCTACTTTCCTCCCACTTACTCCTTTCGAGAGAAACTCCTTTTCCAGAAAGGATCCGTTCTTGGCAACAAAGATCTTGCCCTCGGATCTTAAGTAGAAGGTATACCCAATGGTTTCCTTAGGGTATCCTATGAAGACGCATTTTTCCGACTTGGGTTCGAGCTTTTCAGGTTGAAGTTTCTTGACATAAGCATCGCATCCCCAAACTTTTAGAAACAACAGCTTAGGTTTCTTTCCAAACCATAATTCATACGGTGTCGTCTCAAGGATTTAGACGGTGCCCTATTTAAAGTGAATGTAGCTGTCTCTAGAGCGTATCCCCAAAATGATAGCGGTAAATCGGTAAGAGACATCATAGACCGCACCATATCCAATAGAGTGCGATTACGACGTTCGGACACACCGTTACGCTGAGGTGTTCCAGGCGGCGTGAGTTGTGAAATGATTCCACATTTCCTTAAGTGTGTACCAAATTCGTGACTTAAGTATTCTCCTCCACGATCCAATCGTAGGAATTTTATCTTTCGGTCACGTTGATTCTCTACTTCATTCTGAAATTCCTTGAACTTTTCAAAGGTCTCAGACTTGTGTTTCATCAAGTAGACATACCCATATCTACTCAAGTCATCAGTGAGAGTGAGAACATAACGATATCCTCCACGAGCCTCAACACTCATTGGACCGCACACATCGGTATGTATGATTTCCAACAAGTTGGTTGCTCGCTCCATTGTTCCGGAGAACGGAGTCTTGGTCATCTTGCCCATGAGGCATGGTTCGCATGTGTCAAATGATTCATAATCGAGAGACTCTAAAAGTCCATCAGCATGGAGCTTCTTCATGCGCTTGACACCAATGTGACCAAGGCGGCAGTGCCACAAGTATCTGGGACTATCGTTATCAACTTTACATCTTTTGGTATTCACGCTATGAATATGTGTAGTATTACGCTCGAGATTCATTAAGAATAAACCATTGACCATCGGAGCATGACCATAAAACATATCTCTCATATAAATCGAACAACCATTATTCTCAGACTTAAATGAGTAGCCATCTCGTATTAAACGAGATCCAGATACAATGTTCATGCTCAAACTTGGCACTAAATAACAATTATTAAGGTTCAAAACTAATCCCGTGGGTAAATGTAGAGGTAGCGTGCCGACAGCGATCACATCGACTCTGGAACCATTCCCGACGCGCATCGTCACCTCGTCCTTCGCCAGTCTCCGCTTATTCCGTAGCCCCTGCTGTGAGTTACAAATATGAGCAACGACACCGGTATCAAATACCCAGGAGTTACTACGAGTACTGGTAAGGTACACATCAATTACATGTATATCGAATATACCTTTAGTGTTACCGGCCTTCTTATCCGCTAAGTATTTGGGGCAGTTCCGCTTCCAGTGACCCTTCCCCTTGCAATAAAAGCACTCAGTCTCAGGTTTGGGTCCATTCTTTGACTTCTTCCCGGTAACTGGTTTACCAGGCGCGGCAACCTCCTTGCCGTCCTTCTTGAAGTTCTTCTTACCCTTGCCCTTCTTGAACTTAGTGGTCTTATTGACCATCAACACTTGATGTTCTTTCTTGATTTCAACCTCTGCTGACTTCAGCATGGAAAATACTTCAGGAATGGTCTTTACCATCCCCTGCATATTGTAGTTCATCACAAAGCTCTTGTAGCTTGGTGGGAGCGACTGGAGAATTCTGTCAATGACCGCCTCATCAGGGAGGTTAATACTCAGCTGGGTCATACGGTTGTGCAACCCAGACATCTTGAGTATGTGCTCACTGACAGAACTATTTTCCTCCATCTTACAACTATAGAACTTGTCAGAGATGTCATATCTCTCGACCCGGGCGTGAGCTTGGAAAACTAGTTTCAGCTCTTCGAACATCTCATATGCTCCGTGATGCTCAAAACGCTTTTGGAGCCCCGGTTCTAAGCTGTAAAGCATGCCGCACTGAACGAGGGAGTAATCATCAGCACGAGACTGCCAAGCATTCATAATGTCTTGGTTCTCTGGGACGGGAGCGTCACCTAGCGGTCCTTCTAGGACATATTGTTTCTTGGCAGCTATGAGGATGATCCTCAGGTTCCGGACCCAGTCCGTATAGTTGCTGCCATTATCTTTCAGCTTGGTTTTCTCTAGGAACGCGTTGAAGTTCAAGTTGACATGAGCGTTGGCCATTTGATCTACAAGACATATTTGCAAAAGGTTTTAGACTAAGTTCATGATAATTAAGTTCATCTAATCAAATTATTGAATGAACTCCCACTCAGATTAGACATCCCTCTAGTCATCTAAGTGTTACACGATCCGAGTCGACCAGGCCGTGTCCGATCATCACGTGAGACGGACTAGTCATCATCGGTGAACATTCTCATGTTGATCGTATCTTCCATACGTCTCGTGTTCGACCTTTCGGTCTCCGTGTTCCGAGGCCATGTCTGTACATGCTAGGCTCGTCAAGTTAACCCTAAGTGTTTTTGCATGTGTAAAACTGTCTTACACCCGTTGTATGTGAACGTAAGGATCTATCACACCCGATCATCACGTGGTGCTTCAAAACGACGAACTTTAGCAATGGTGCACAGTTAGGGGGAACACTTTCTTGAAATTGTTATAAGGGATCATCTTATTTACTACCGGCGATCTAAGTAAACAAGATGCATAAACATAATAAACATCACATGCAATTATATAAAGTAGTGACATGATATGGCCAATATCATATAGCTCCTTTGATCTTCATCTTCGGGGCTCCATGATCATCTTGTCACCGGCATGACACCATGATCTCCATCATCGTGTCTTCATGAAGTTGTCACACCAACGACTACTTCTACTTCTATGACTAATGCGTTTAGCAAATAAAGTAAAGTAGTTTACATGGCGTTCTTCAATGACACGCAGGTCATACAAAATAAAGACAACTCCTATGGCTCCTGCCAGTTGTCATACTCATCGACATGCAAGTCGTGATTCCTATTACAAGAACATGATTTCATACATCACAATATATCATTCATCATTCATCACAACTTCTGGCCATATCACATCACATGACAATTGCTGCAAAAACAAGTTAGACGTCCTCTAATTGTTGTTGCATCTTTTACGTGGCTGCAATTGGGTTCTAGCAAGAACGTTTTCTTACCTACGAATAACCACAACGTGATCTTGCCAACTTCTATTTACCCTTCATAAGGACCCTTTTCATCGAATCCACTTCAACTAAAGTGGGAGAGACAGACACCCGCCAGCCACCTTATGCAACTAGTGCATGTTAGTCGGTGGAACCGGTCTCACGTAAGCGTACGTGTAAGGTTGGTCCGGGCCGCTTCATCCCACAATACCGCTGAAGCAAGATAAGACTAGTAGCGGCAAGCAAGTTGACAAAATCTACGCCCACAACAAAATTGTGTTCTACTCGTGCAAAGAGAACTACGCATAGACCTAGCTCATGATGCCACTGTTGGGGAAGTTGCAGAAAATTAAAATTTTTCCTACGGTTTCACCAAGATCCATCTATGAGTTCATCTAAGCAACGAGTCAAGGGAGAGAGTTTGCATCTACATACCACTTGTAGATCGAGTGCGGAAGCGTTCAAGGGGATGGTGATGATGGAGTCGTACTCGACGTGATTCAGATCACCGATGACCAAGTGCTGAACAGACAGCACCTCCGCGTTCAACACACGTGAGGTACGGGCGACGTCTCCTCCGTCTTGATCCAGCAAGGAGGAAGGAGAGGTTGAGGAAGACAGCTCCAACGGCAGCACGACGGCGTGGTGTTGTTGGTGCACCAGTACTCTGACAGGGCTTCGTCAAGCACGTACGGAGGAGGAGAGGTGTTGGGGAGGGGAGGGGCTGCGCCTTGGCTTGTGTATGGCTGCCCTCCCCTCACCCCTCTATATATAGGAGGAGAGGGGCAAGGGGGCCGGCCCTCTAGGGGAAACCCTAGAGGGGGGCGGAGGCCAAAGGGAGAGGGAAAAGGGGTGGCTTGCCCCCCAAGCTAGGGGGGCGCCCCCTTTAGGGTTTCCCCTCCCCTTGCCCTAGCCGCATGGGCCTAGGTGGGGAGGCGCGCCCAGCCCACTAGGGGCTGGCTCCCTCTCCCACACAGCCCATGTGGCCCCCCCGGGAGGGGTGGCCCCACCCGGTGGACCCCCGGAACCCTTTCGGTGGCCCCGGTACAATACCGGTATGCCACCGAAACTTTCCGGTGTCCGTTTAACCACTTTTCTTATATAAATCTTTACCTCCGGACCATTCCGGAACTCCTCGTGACGTCCGGGATCTCATCCGGGACTCCGAACAACATTCGGTAATCACATACTTGTCTTCCTGATAACCCTAGCGTCACCGAACCTTAAGTGTGTAGACCCTACGGGTTCGGGAGACATGCAGACATGACCGAGACGACCTCAGGTCAATAACCAACAGCGGGATCTGGATACCCATGTTGGCTCCCACATGCTCCTCGATGTTGTCATCGGATGAACCACGATGTCGAGGATTCGATCAAACTCCGTATGCAATTCCCTTTGTCAATCGGTACGTTACATGCCCGAGACTCGATCGTCGGTATCCCAATACCTCATTCAGTCTCGTTACCGGCAAGTCACTTTACTCGTACCGTAATGCATGATCCCGTCACCAGACACTTGGCCACCTTGAGCTCATTATGATGATGCACTACCGAGTGGGCCCAGTGATACCTCTCCGCAACACGCAGTGACAAATCCCAGTCTCGATCCGTGTCAACCCAACAGACACTTTCGGAGATACCTGTAATGCACCTTTATAGTCACCCAGTTACGTTGTGACGTTTGGTACACCCAAAGTACTCTTACGGTATCCGGGAGTTACACGATCTCATGGTCTAAGGAAGAGATACTTGACATTGAAAAAAGCTCTAGCAAAACGAACTACACGATCTTGTGCTATGCTTAGGATTGGGTCTTGTCCATCACATCATTCTCCTAATGATGTGATCCCGTTATCAACGACATCCAATGTCCATAGCCAGGAAACCATGACTATCTGTTGATCACAACGAGCTAGTCAACTAGAGGCTCACTAGGGACATATTGTGGTCTATGTATTCACACGTGTATTACGATTTCCGGATAATACAGTTATAGCATGAATAAAAGACTATTATCATGAACAAAGAAATATAATAATAACACTTTTATTATTGCCCCTAGGGCATATTTCCAACAGTCTTCACGTGTAGTTCTTTGGCCTTTCCATAGAGATACATATACAAACCACTAAAAACCACTGCACTACCCAGCAAGCTGCCATATAGCAGTAAAATGTATTAGTTATGGAATATAAGTGTTTATAAGTGTAAATACTAAAAGAACCAACATGTCAAACTATATTATTTGATGTACTTCTAGTGCAAAATTGTATACCCATGTCACAACATTTATTAAGGTACATTGCTCAGTATTTCTTTTTCACAATACGTTAAGCTACATTTTTTTCAATATATATTAAGGTACATACATCATGATAAATACAAAATATGTAAGCATCATTTTCTTAAAAATGAAATAAAGGCACTTTTATACAGGTCACAAGAATGTGTTCTCCGTAGGCTATTTTGTCTTCAAGTCATGCTTTATTCTATTGTGTAACTTTATTATATAATGGTAACAACATGAGAATACCCACCCTCTAGGGATAGGGACATTATATACAACTATAATACACACATATGTATAAGAAAAACTAATTATTTTGAATATAAGTGCAAATACGAGACAAAGTACATGTACCTCCCAACCGTGAGGCTTTCTCCTAGTAATAATGCTCCGAGAACCATGGTGAAGACAACTGATAAGGTGTTGAACATTGGTGGGAAAACGGGGCCTCGCTTTTCCACGGCATAGAGATTTAACCAATACTTGGCTGCTGTGCCAAGTGTAGCCTACACTCCAAATCAAGTATGTGCCACATTACTGCCTATTGCTCTCAACTATCATGTGAAGAAAAAACTTGAAACACATGTTTTTAATATTCAACGTCATGAAGCAATTGGATCTCGAACAATATACGAATTCCTCAGAAGAAGTTTTTCACAATTTTGAACTAAGCTAACATTTAACTTGCAACAATGATATGCCCATTGATTTTGGCAGCTAGAATAAAGGTTGAATATACCACAAAATAATCTCCAATGGATACTTTTGTCACAAATTCTTCTATATCTACAAATCAAAACCTATCTTGCTCGCGTTGCTTGTCTTTTGCCTGATAAACTATATATATATAGTGGCATATCAATTAGATCTGAAAATGTGCAAAGTAATGAAAATTCATTCAATATAAAGGATTTTGAAAATTGAGACATCCTGGAAAAGACTTACCGAGTAGACAATTGTTAATAGTTGAATGTTCCATCCCACTTGCCAAGCAAGTTTGTCCCTTCTCATAATTATTCCTATGGCACATGTTTGGAGACCTCCTAGAACACATGTCAACACTGATGACCAATGTTTCCATGGGTACACCTTTAAAACCTTTACCTTCATTTTTAGAAACCCTTAGTCGTTACCGGTCAAAAACAAGAATAAAAAATTGAAATCATGTTATGCCTCTTAGGGGTAATATTGATCCAAGCCTTAGTTCAAAAATACCGTATCAGAAATGAACATACCAGTACAGGGTATGAAAATGCATAGCATATGCATTCACCCAACAAAAGCAAGGTACCCCTCAAATGGTGGTGTCCTCCGACTACTCCATTGGAACTCTTGGTGATACCTTCTATAACTGGGGACCAGAGATGCAGTTCCTTTCCATTGTACAAGCTAATCAACAAAGCCCCTCCAAAGCATACCAATGCACCAACCACCTTCGCACTGCCCTCCTTGGATTTGAGGTGCAAGTTCTCCATGCTGCAAAATATATCTTGAGATTTGTATTTTTTTTCTAAATCTCTATTAATTAAGAAGTTGTTTATTCGTAGGGACGAAGTTACTAGTAATTGTAACTAATTACACAGAGGAAAGCAGGATGTTGTGGTAGCACCCCCTAGTTGTAGTATTCTACATTGGAAGAAAGGAGTTATGGTGTTCTAAGTTGGAGGAAAGGATTTTTTACCCAAGGAATATTGACAGGACAAAAGTGAAGAGTGGAGTCAAACTTGAGAATATCACACCATAGGAGGCGGTTGTGTCATGTAGCCCATTGTAGTACAAGGCCATAGGCAACGAGTATCTATATGAAGTAAAGATATCATTGTCAATATCAATATACCTGATTCGTTAATCATATACTCAAATAAAAGTAACTATATCATACTTAATGTTTTATTAATATAATGAGCTATGAAATTGATTAAAACCGTAGTTGTGCATCCTAACCTGTTAATTTATTTCAAGAAACAAAAGGCATGAGATATTGAAAGAATATGGTAGGCAAGTTTTCCATTTATTTTGAGGAGGATTTGAAAAAAAATGTTAGCATATGGGGGTTGGAGAATCAGTCGGGTTCAGTTTAAGTTTTGACATGGAGCCAAGGTGTTGATTGAATTAGTTGGCTAATGCATGCTTTGTTATCACCAGACCAACATATAACCACATCTCCAAATTGGCTAATTGATTTTGATGGGAAGATAGGTCAAAATGCACATATATAAGCATTGATCAAAACATAGAGTTTAGAGGAGCAAAATTACAAAACTAATTATTTTATGTTAGTGCAAAGGTATATAAGGTTGTTCATCGATGTATATACCCGACAAAAGCATTGACAAAGAGCCACCCAAGAGCATGCTTATCCAATTCTTTCCACTTCCCACTGCATATTTGTCATGCATATTCTAAGTTTAATGGTTAAAACATATAATATTACTTTCCGTGAAAATAATAGATTATTTAACAAAATTCCTCACCTTTCGAGGAGTAGGGCAAATGGCAAGATGAAAAAGGCACCTAGAATGCTTCTATAACACAACAATGAGAATACAAACATGCCCCCATCAACTACTACCTTGCCTAACAGTATATTTCCTGTTTTAAAGAGCTCCACAAGGACAACACATGCAATCGGTTTCCACCTGCTTCCTGTGCGGCAATTTCAATCACAATATTAGAATAGAATTCCTATTCCCATGCAGGAGTTTTACTTAAAGCTTATGTACTGCGATAGAAGGAATAAGTGCCTAGAGCAAAACGTGCTAATACCGTCGCCCAAGTGAACTACTACGTAGGATTTAAGTAAACATATTACATAAAAATAGCAGTCGTCAAGGAGAGTGTCGATGTTGAAGATAATATCTAAGCCGTTGTAGACGAGGCACCGCATATGGTTTTTTTCAAGCCCGGGGACGAAGGCACACGTGGTGTTGCCAGCACCAGGCATGCGTAGACGGGGACTAGCAAGAACTGTATGCCATGTCGGAGGGAGCAGCAGAGCTCCCCCGGGACGGTTACGAGTTGCGGCGCAAAACGGTGTAGGGTAGAAGGTGCCGAATGTTACCCACGGTTGCCGGAGTAGATGAAGTGGTCGAGAAGATGACGGCAACGTTGTGTCCGCCTAGAACTTTCATAGTTCATAAAATATCAGGTCTTAAAACTGTAACTAGGTATACCTTGGACTTGGATGGTTGTGTCCGGGCCGTGGAGAGCACACACCGCGCTCGTGCCAGGTCCAGTCAACGCCGCCGGTTGGAGGGTTGGAGGGCGCGGCTGGCTGCGGTTGGCGACGGATGCGAGCGCGCCAGAGTCGGAAACGATGGGGAGGGAAGAGTCGAGCAAGGTGTCCGTTAGCGTGGATGCTGCCATGGCAACCGTGCTGGAGAAAGCTGGCTGGAAGCGATGGCTCGAATTAGTAGCATGGACGTCCTTGATTGGGCAGCTGGTAGTACGTCCCCGTCGGGTAACAGTGCCCACATTTACGCCACCGCCCAAATACGTGCTGGCCAGCAGAAATAATTTAACGTGGCGTCTCTACCGATATTTAATGTGTACCAAATTATTAGAAAATAATTAACGTGTAAATAATTATGTGGATAATCTCCACCTTGCGTGTCTCCTCCCTCCCGTCTATCCAAAGTGTTTGTGTCGGTTGGATACGTTCCCACAGGGTGTTCATTGTACAGTACAAATCATCATCCGTAAAGGATGCGGTTGATTCACTCTCGCAAAGATTTCTTGATAGTAAGTTATCAACATGTTGCTTTCTGTCGAGACAGAAAGGCCATCCAGGCAGTTACACACACAGCGACGGAAGGCCACCATTCATGGTGTTGAGCGCACCGCATGTGTATAGGACTTGGGTCTGTATTTATATCGTTGTACCTCTCTCTCTCCCAGGGGCGGGCCCAGTACAATTCATGGGTATTCACTTGAATACCCATTATTTTGGCCAAAACATTATGTATATATAAAGTGTGTACCATGTACTGTATGAAAGAAAAACGAGATTTTCACAGAATAGGAGGTTGTATCGCTTCCTGCAGAAGGATTAGCCAGCCCACCTCGTGCTTCTCTCGTTCCACCTGATTCCAGCATGGCCTAGTGGCCCAAATCTCTCTTCACCTAGTAGGCCAGTCCAAGCCCAATTCGAAACTATATAGTGGACGTGGGCTCAATCAAACGTCGCCCTGATCCATCGATCGATCAGATGAACCAGCTCGCCCACACTCCCAGTTCTCATCGCTAGGAAAAGCACGTTCAACAACTACACGGCGGCAAGGGCATCGGGCGTCGGTGGAGATTGAGTCGAGGCGTCGATCTCATTCTTTAGTTAACACATCAATCTTTTCTGTTATGTTTTTTTTCTCAGATATGTGCATTATGGCCTTTTAGGTTAATTCTTAGATCCCCGAAAAAAAAGGTTAATTCTTGGATGGTTTCCCAGTTCATTTTTTGGAGGCGCTTCAGAGTCGTCAGTTGGACAAATGTTCCTTTGTTTTGGATGTTTTGGAGAAGTTGGCATTAGTAGTACTGGATGTGAATTCATTTTGATGTATTGGCACTAGTACTACTACTGATTGTACCCGCCATTGTTGTTAGATGTTGCCACTTCATATTTTGAGGAATCAGTACTTCCATATGTTGAACAATTCCAAGTTATGATCCTAGATCAAAAAATTCGAGTTAAGATCAATTATATGAACCTATGATGCTATTCCTATTTCCATTTTTTATGTTTTATAAATTATACAAGTCGTATAAGATGGTGCTATAATCATTTATACATGCCAAAAACAAGATGATGTCAAAAAAATTGTAAGCTCTTCAGATTTTGAATACACACTATGAAAATCCTGGACCCGCCCCTGCTCTCTCCCCCTCGTATATTTGTACATCTTGGGAGACAAGTAGAGGCCGGTCCACTTTGTACCTATATATGTGCGTCATGCACACGATCAATGAATCATCGATGCATGCAATCCCTTCTTTCCAACTAACATGGTATCAGATAGCACGCCGATTTCTTTCCTCGCTTCCGCCTAACCCTGCCGCCGCCGCCCTACAGCCGCCGCCGCTGCACCTTGCTGCGCCGCCGCCGACGCCACTGTACACCGCCGCCGCACCTTCCTCTACACCGCAGCCGCGACCCCTCTTCCCGGCCACCGCTGCCCCTTCCCCTTAGCCGCCGCACTCCTCCACCCTACCCTACCCGAGCTGCCGCCGCTAAAACCCTAACGCATCCGAGCCGCCGCCACCTCCCAACGCCGCAGCTCCCCATGGCGTCTCCCCACTCCAGCAACTCCAACCCCTTCGCCGGACCCGCACCTGACGCCACCGCCGTTCGCGATCCCGACATCCACACCCGTGTCCCCATCAAGCTCGACCAGTCCAACTCTTCGTACTACGCATGGAAGACCTACTTCAACCTCCTCTTCCGCGAGTACTACCTCCTCGAGCACGTCGATGGGAGCATCGATGGCGACCTCATGGCGGGCGATCCGGATTGGGCGGCCATTGAGGCCTCTCTCATCCAGTGGTTCTATCTCACCGTCTCGCCGGACATCTTCCACACGGTCGTCTCGGAGGATGACGACGCGTCTGCCGTGTGGACCAAGATCAACAATCTCTTCACCGATAACAAGCTTCAACGTCTTGTGTTTTTGCAGCAGGAATTTTTTGGGTGCAACCAAGATGACTCCTCCATTGATGACTACTGCATGTGCCTCAAGCGCCTCGCCGATCAGCTCCGCGACATCGGCGCCAAGGTGTCGAACGAGCTCATGCTTAGCACCCTCACCGCCGGCCTCAACGAGGATTTCGGCAACGTGGCCTCAAACCTCTCCCTGCTGCCGAACCCGACCTTCCAGTCCGTCACCGCGTATTTACGTTTGGAGGAAAGCCAGATGAAGAAGGTCAAGGCTCGTGTACACCACACCGCCCTTGCCGCCGGGACATCTCGTGGGCATCCGCAGCCCGCACCGCCCCAACCACGCCCGCCGGCGCCAACCGGGGTACTACCCCCTCCCGCCTACTCCGCCCGCACCTCCCGCTCTGCAACAGCAGCAGCAGGGCGGGGACGGCGGTCGCCGCAACAGGCGCCGTGGGGGCGGGGGCGGCGGCCGGCCCCAACAGCAGCAGCATCACCCGGGGTACGGGGGGGCTCAACGTCATCACCCCCCCACCTTTGTCGGTCGGCACCAATCCATGGACTCGGCGATCTCGGACACGGAACCGGTGCAGCCCCCGGCGCGGCCCCCTCTGGCTTAGGCGCGGCCGCGGCACACCCCCCCATGGCGGCCCTTCCTTCTGCGCCCCCCGTGGCGGGCTCCCCGACTGCGGCCCCCGTGGAGGGCCCCTCCGCTGCGGCCCCGGTCGCTGGCCCCTCGGCCTCGGCCCCGATGCAGCCCTGCATGGCCCCGGGGGGCTCTTCGGCTTCCACCGCATCGGGTGACGGGGCCCGCCCCGTCCAGCCCGGCCCTGCTACAATGCCAGGAGCGACGGACCATCCATCAGCTCCGTCCGTCCCTCCTGCCGCAGCCGACCCTCCTGCTGGCATGACGACGCGATCTCGCCGGTATCCATCGCCCCAGCCTGCATTACGGCGCTGGTGAGTATGCATGTGCGGTGTCGACATCATCCTCTCCACCATCGCCCATACCCTCGTCCGCACACGCCGCCCTTTGTGATCCACACTGGCTTGCCGCGATGCGCGAGGAGTTTGATGCGTTGCAGCGCAACCGTATGTGGAATCTTGTACCGCGACCCCCTCACGCCAACGTCATTAGTGGCAAATGGGTGTTTCGTCACAAGACCCACCCGGACGGATCTCTCGAGCGCTACAAGGCTCGCTGGGTGGTGTGCGGCTTCCGCCATCATGGAGGAGTGGACTTCACCGACACCTTCGCCCCAGTTGTTAAACCGGGCACGATTCATACGGTGCTTCAGCTGGCGGTCTCCCGTGCCTGGCCCGTGCACTAGTTGGATGTCTCCAACGCATTCTTGCACGGCCACCTCATGGAACGGGTCTTCTGTGAGCAGCCGACCGGCTTCGTCGACGCCGAGCATCCCGACCACGTCTGCGTGCTCTCTCGGTCTCTATATGGACTGAAGCAGGCCCCCAGGGCATGGTACCAACGGATGGCTGGGTTCTTGTAGTAGCTTGGGTTTTCCACAACCCGCTCCGACGCGTCACTGTGTTGGGGAACGTAGTAATTTCAAAAAATTTCCTACGTACACACAAGATCATGGTGATGGCATAGCAACGAGAGGGGAGAGTGTCCATCCACGTACCCTCGTAGACCGTAAGCGGAAGCGTTATGACAACGCGGTTGATGTAGTCGTACGTCTTCACGATCCGACCGATCCAAGCACCGAACGTACGGCACCTCCGAGTTCAGCACACGTTCAGCTCGATGACGATCCCCGGGCTCCGATCCAGCAAAGCTTCAGGGATGAGTTCCGTCAGCACGACGGCGTGGTGACGATGATGATGCTCTACCGGTGCAGGGCTTCGCCTAAACACCGCGACGATATGACCGAGGTGGAATATGGTGGAGGGGGGCACCGCACACGGCTAAGGAACGATCCGTAGATCAACTTGTGTGTTATGGGGTGCCCCTCCTGCCCCCGTATATAAAGGAGGGAGGGGGAGGTGCGGCCGGCCCCCATGGGGTGCGCCTGGAGGAGTCCTACTCCCACCGGGAGTAGGACTCCCCCCTCTTGCCTTGGTGGAGAAGGAAAGGGGGGAGGGGAAAGAGGAAAGGGGGGCGCCGCCCCCCCTTCCTTGTCCTATTCGGACTAGGGGGAGGGGGCGCGCGGCCTGCCCTGGCCGGCCCTCCTCTTCTCCCTCATGGCCCACTAAGGCCCATTAACCCCCGGGAGGGTTCCGGTAACTCGCCGGTGTTCCGGTAAAATCCCGATTTCACGCGCAACCTTTCCGATGTCCAAACATAGGCTTCCAATATATCAATCTTTATGTCTCGACCATTTCTAGACTCCTCGTCATGTCCGTGATCACATCCGGGACTCCGAACAAACTTCGGTACATCAAAACTTATAAACTCATAATAAAACTGTCATCGTAACGTTAAGCGTGCGGACCCTACGGGTTCGAGAACTATGTAGACATGACCTAGAACCATTCTCGGTCAATAACCAATAGCGGGACCTGGATGCCCATATTGGTTCCTACATATTCTACGAAGATCTTTATCGGTCAAACCGCATAACAACATACGTTGTTCCCTTTGTCATCGGTATGTTACTTGCCCGAGATTTGATTTTCGGTATCCAATACCTAGTTCAATCTCGTTACCGGCAAGTCTCTTTACTCGTTCCGTAATGCATCATCCCATAACCAACTCATT